GACTGAAATCATACTTTAGAAACATACTTTTTGAAAGAAAAAAAAAATGAAGGTAACGAAAAGTGATCAGTGGTGTTAAATTCCTGTAAACAATGTTTATCGTGAACAGGACATTAAAATGGTCTCTGGAAACACTACAGGAGGGATCAGGTACCTAGTAGGAGTAAGCATCTCCTGTCGACCTGTCACGTCCACCATGTGAGCTCTGTATTGATTCTGTAAACAAAACAAGTATAAAAAGTTTCTATCCGCACGACTGTCTAACTGAATTCATGTCAGCTTGTCTTCCTGTGCCACTTTTGTGCTACTTGGAAAGGAATTCAAAAGCTTGGAGTATAACCTAGATCTGTAAGGGATTTGTGTATCTGTAGAAACTTTTCAGTGAATTTATTTTGTAATGTATTCATTTTATGGGATGTTGAACTGAAGCAGGTTAAGAATGTGTTCATTTGCTTGGGTATTTTATCTTTCCAATGTGAATGACTATTTGGTTGAAGTCCCCATCCCATGTCAATGTACTTTTAAAAATTTCTTATCAATAATAGGGAGACCATCAAATACTGTATGAATGTACTTAAGGAACCCGATTAAATGAATTATATTTGTGGTGTGGCCATGGAATCAAATTACAACAATTTTAGGAAATATTAACATTACTTTCTTGACTTTGGTACAAGAATGTAGTTGTGTTTAAGGGCTTAAACCTATTTCATTGTCAAGCCTTCGCTAAATATAAAAAAAACAATCCACAGGAATTTTAGATGCCTTGGCTTTATTAATGACATGTCTGTATGAATGACCCATTAGAAAAAAATATGAAACGAATTTGTACATATGTTAAAAAAGAAAAGTTTTCCTAACAATTGTATTCTTGAAATAAAATGCGAAAATAAAGAGCAAGCTCAAAGAGTTCAATTTAACAAAATAATTAATGATCAAAACAAACGTGGAACCCTGAAAACCATAAGTAGATTGGAGGAGTCAGCATCCCCTGATGTCGAGCAGTCACACCTGCCATATGCCTCTTGTCATGGTCGGTAAATGGAAAAATCCGCTGACAATTAAGGGTGAAAATAATCGTCTAACAATTTTTATTATGTTCCCCAAACGAAGTTGGGGAACATATTGTTTTTACTCTGTTTCTTATTATTATTATTATTTTTCTTCTTCTTCTTCTTCCTGGGTACTTTTTTGTCCGCGAGTGATCTCGTCAACTACTCATCCGATTGAGGTGAAACCTTTTTAGGGTTAATAGGCATGTTATGTAGATTTGCGGAATCAAGGTCATTTTGCGCGCACGTGCATGCACGTGCGTGCGCGTGCAATGCGTAAAATGACTAATATACTTGATATAGCTGTAACTTTTATATATTTAGATGAAATGCTTTGATACTCAAAATATAAGGATATATTAAAAGTGTAAACAAGATGACATGGTCAACATGCACATGCATGCACGTGTGCGCACGCGCAAAGCGTAAAATGACAAATATACTTGATATATTCGTAACTTTTATACTTTTTGATGAAATGCTTTGATACTCAAAATATTTATATATATTAAAAGTGTAGACAAGATGACATGGTCATCATGCACATGCATGCATGCATATGCATGCACGTGCGCGCGCGTGCAATGTGTTAAATGACCAATATACTTAATATAGCCGTAGTTTTTATATTTTTTTATGAAAAGTTTTTATATTAAGAATATACAGATATATTAAAAGTGTAGACAAGATGATGTGGACATCATGCTCATGAATGCACATGCGCGCGCGTGCAATGTGTTAAATGACCAATATACTTAATATAGCCATAACTTTTATATTTTTTTATGAAAAGCTTTGATACTAAGAATAAACAGACAAATTATAAGTGTAGACAAAATGGCATGGTCATTAGGAACATGCATGCAGGTGCGCATGCATGCAATGCTAAGATGACCAATATACTTGATATAGCCGGAACTTATTTATTTTTTGACGAAATGTTTTGATACTGAGAATATAAAGATGCATTAATAGTATAGATGAGATGACATGGTCATCCTGCACATGCATGCACGTGCGCGCGCGTGAAATGCAAAAAACGATCAATATACTTCATTGCCTTATTTAATGAAGCTTACAGGAAATAAGACACCAAGAGGGTGTTGGGGAGCGTTTGGGGAACATCTGTAACGGTCCCCGTTACAATTAATACTAGTTAAATACTTAAGTTATACATTCGACTTAACAACAGATTGTAACTGCAAACTAGGTTACTGTATCGTAGGAAAACTTCTACGAAAATTTTCACTACTGAAATTCGAGCTTAAATTTGACATCGAAGAAGTCTCTTAAATTCTCAAAGAAATGAATATCTATGGTAAATTATTGACAAACAAGTTGATGAAAGAAGAATATCAGCTGTATCGTTTAAAGTCATCATTTCGTAAGTTCTATGGTTGTTACAATGACCATGTCAGCAAATACAATTTATCATTGAGTCAAATGCTGACTGATGTTTTTCATACTAATTGTTAGACCATTATTTAAACACTGAATTGCCGACGGATTTTTCCGTTATTTCCCGATCATGACAAGGAGCATACCGCGGGTGTGACCGGTCGGCAGGGGATTCTCACTCCTCCATGGCACCTGATCCCACCTCTGATGTTTGGAGGTCCGTGTTTTCTCTGCTCCTATTTTGTATTGTTTAATGGACTTTTTTAGCTTGAATACTGTTCGTTATCTCCATATATTGCATTCTTTAATTTCTTGCAAGCTGTGATAAAAAGATACACCATAAGGTTTTAATTCAAATATGAAGATATTTCACGCGGCACTTTAGTAAAGAAAAAGCAAATGGTAACCAGAAAGTTAGGAAGTTTTCTTACAAGCACACTTTCTGTAATCCTGAAAACAAAAGATTCAATTGTGAACATTTATTTTCTTAGACAATTTCAAAATTTAAAGGATAATATTCATAATCTTTATATTTAAATAATAAGTTGATGACTCACAGCTGTCAAACTTACTATAAAACATCCTTGTTTTCTGATTGTAACATATTAAACACGTGTAGTGGTTGTGTTGAACTTGTCAGTTTCTTTTATTTCCTCGATTGTGGATTTCATTAATGTGAAATGTGCGTAAAGGAATTAAAATACCAGTCTTTACCATCTTTTATACAAATGAGGTAAACTTGGACATTTTTCAATTTTCCTCTTTTATAAAAAGTTTAAATTTACTTTAATTGACCCTTTTTATTACTTTTCATCTTAGTGTCGATTTTGGGCGGCTTTGAATTTTTTTCTTGTCGAGTTATACTGGTATTTCAATCCTCTCAAATGACACATCAGTTTTGTTTTCTTATGCTTTGAAATCTTTACCATAAGCAACTATTATCTCGATCATTCTGCTGCCTAAATTTTTACAAAACAAAAACTGAAAAATTTGGTAAAGTATGTGAAATAATAAGATGGAGTGAAACAATTTATTTTTTTAAGAATAAAGTTTGATAAAATATTTTTTCTTATTGTTCAGTTCTTAGAGAATAAAGAATACCAATAAATTTATAATTATGACATGCATTTGGAAAAATCGGTCCCTCTCTTTGTGAATATAATGTTAGAGGAGTTCGTCCTATCTAAGTCGTTTTTCACAAAATAGATACAATTCAGCCAAAAAATTAACTTTTATCAAGGACGAAAGGGGTTACACTTTGGATTAATAAAAGTATCCATAGCTTAAGTAGGTCAGTACTTTTTTTGTGTTGTATGTCCTTAATTAGGCGTGAGTTTTTATTCAATGAATATCTGTGTGTTATGTTTGAAGAATTTGAATGTATATGGTTCTTAATAGTTAATCAAGAAGACAAATGAAGAAAATCTGCATAATTTTGTTAATTCCTCCTAATTATTATTTTTATTAACATTAACTATTCTAAAATACCTCTGTTTTAAAAGGAATGAATTATGAAGTTAACAAACAGTATTCAATATCGAAAGTCCAATGAAACGATACAAATTTGGAGCAGAGCAAACACGGACCTCAAAATTTAGAGGTGGGATCAGGTGCCATGGAGTAGTAAGCATCCCCTGCCGACCGGTCACACCCGCCTTGTGTTCTTTGTCATGATCGTGAAATAAAAACCGGAAAAATCCGTAGACAGTTCAGTGTATAAATAATTGTCTAACATTCAGTATGAAAAACGTTAGTCAGCATTTGACTCAATGACAGGTTGTATGTGCTGACAAGGTCAATGTATCGACCGAAAAACTTGCGAAAAGATGACTTCAAACGAGATTGTTGAAATCCTTGTTTCGTCAACTTCTTTGCCTCGTTTTAGAAATTGTTCATATGTAGAGCATGCTCTTGCGTATCGAATCAACTGAGAGACATAAACCCCATATGCAGGTGAAAAGGGTATATTGCTACATAAGTAAGGGAAGTTGACGATTGAAAAGTTGAAGTCACCACGTTTATCATAAAGCTTAGTTGTTAGGTTACCATCCATGAAATCTTTAATTAAAATGTTTTCGGTGAAATCAATACCACAAATAGATACATCGTAGCAAAAAAAATCTTATTTCATATCATTCTAGCAATTAAAATGCGTAAAATTAAATTTAGAAATATTAAACAAGTACATGTAGGTTTTCTTTCATCAATGATATAAACAGCATGAATTGTGCAATAATGTGTTAATTGCCACATAAAAAGAAATATGAAATACTGTTCGGCAACTGACTCCTACATGCGTTTTCAATTCAACTGAAGTATATTTCTGGCATCATTACAAAAATATTTTACTTATTCTTCCAAGCACACGTTTGAATGTTCCATCCTTTTCAAACCATCTCATTTTTTGTGGAGATAAATTATGATATAAAAAAAGCTAGAATTACTAATTACCCTCTTTGGAATTTGAGACACACTTGACATCAGCTGAATTTATTATGTTGGTGTAGGTAATGTTTTGGTCCTAAATAAGCGACATTTTATTCGTGAATTAAGTGACAGTCAGATGAGAAAAAAAGAATTAATTACGAAAAATCATGAAGACGATTTGGAGATAGTTAGCCAGGACGTTTAATTATAACAGGACGTTAATTGCCGCTAATTCTGAATTATAGAGAGTTGTATATGATGTACTGTCTATTCCTTAACTTAAAGGTATGTTTTGACCAAAGTTTTAAGCTCTATTTTCTGTTGTGAACAAATTTTCTAGCTCTGTTTCCTGTTTTTCTTCATTTTTTTTTTCAATGATCAAACTTTATATTGTAGCAATTAGGGTTCAATGATGTGGCTTATGAGGATTTTTTAAAATTTTTGTATGGAAGTTGAAAGAGAATTGTTTGTAGCTCAAAAATACGACGCGTAATGGTTTTCCTAAACAACTGGCCATCTCTTTAGCATACCTGCACTGTTCAAACCGCACAAAAATATTCAAACGTATTTAATTAAAAATTTTGCGAACTCACATTCATTTTATGATATTTTCTGAGGCATTATAATACATTACAACATATTACTTATTTTTCTTCCTTGTTGAAAATAGGTATTGAATAGAAAAAAAAATCAAGGTCTATGAGTTCGGTAAAAGTGTCCGAATTTGAAGTAATTTAATTCAGTGTTGCTGTTACTTAAGGTGCACAGTGAATTATTAACCAGACCAAAAATCTATACAAAATGATAATAGGTCTATCCAAATTTAGCAAAATCAATGAATAAAATTAAACTTGTTTTCCATTTTATTTCGCCTACATGGAATGATAATCACTACCTTTACAATTTTAATTTTGAAGACACCAGAGAACCGGTATATTTAAATTTAATTATGTAGACAATATTACCTGACAGATTGTTCAACACTGCAGTCCCAACTTCCTGTGATTTGCAGAGTGTTTTGATTGATTTTCTTGTCAAAGTAGCTGATTGAGTATATATACATGTATATCTATGTTAGATTTACTTTTAGGTATGAAAAATGAACAACAGTAAAATCCAAACCTCTCCGTGCTGTATCGTCTTTGGCTTTCTGTCGCTGCTGTTGGTTTGTCAGTCTGCAGTCCTACCAAAAGAGAAATGTAAGTCGTTTATCAATATCTATTTGAAAAAGGCTCCGATAATTTGACATACCAGTCATGGCTGTATTGCAGAGCAAGTCTTCGTGCAATTTTACAATAATTTGCAGCTATACTAGTATACTTCTTAGATGTCTTAGAATTGTTAATTTTAAAACCTCAAAAATGAAACTATATATTTGTATACATGTATCTTTCAGTGTCTATATTATATTTCCTTTCCACCAATTTTTGCAACCTTACTATAATCATGTATGATAATGCTAAGTTATCATTTTTACAAAATTATTATATATATTTTTTGGAAGAATTAGTATTTATCATGAAGTTTTGCTTTTATTCCAGCCAACTGTAACCCTACTGTAGATATTGTCTTTATGCTTGATGGCCAGTCCAGCGTGAACTCCGGGGATTTCCTTAAACAGAAGGCGTTCATCCGGGATATCTTAGACCGACATGAATCCCCCACCGGGGCTGTTCAGGTACAAACATCTGTAGTTTATTTAACAGGAGTTTGTATATAAGTATTTTTAATATATATATATATATATATATATATATATATATATATATATATATATATATATATATATATATATATATATATATATATATACAAACATAACATAATTGAAAAGAAAACTTAATCTTATTAATAGAATTAAAATTCTTCAATTTGGCAAATTGGCATTTTCTTCCTGGTTTCCTTTTATATTTGAAAGAAAATAAAAATAAATTCTATGGGAATTACAAAATAAAAATCATAATTATTGTTTTTTTCTCCTATCACCCACTGAAAATGTCTTTTTATAGACAACGCATTCCTGGCCCAAACTCTACAAAGATTCAATGTTTAAGAAAAACAGAATATCTTGACTTTTTCATTTGGCTTTTGCAATATTTCATCATGATTTTTTTTCGTCCTTTATGGAGGATACATATAGTATGTAATTTGGAGGTTCTGTCTTTTCACGAGTAGACAACACTACTGCGTATTGTGTTTCTACATATTCCTTCTAAGTCATCTATCACAATGCTTGTCCCTTCAACCACCTGCTACAACAAAACAAACCCATCTGTCACACAGCAACTTAATGCATCATGAACAATACCTAAAATGAAACATGCCATAAATATTATTCCTGGTTTGAAATTAATCGCAATTTTCCAGAAGCCCAAAAGCTTTACCTTTAATGTAATTTATTATCCAACTTTAAAAGTCAAAAATATCACATACCTTTATTATATTTCAAACTGTCCCATTTGATGTCTGTTTCCAAAAATTTAAATACACTACGCCTACTGTAAATGTTTTGTTTTTGCAACGAGGCTAGAAAAATATAAGAGTCTCAAGTTAAACTTACGGTGAAAACAAATATACTTCCTAACAGCTAAGAAGTCTCTTTTGAAAACTTAGTAGTAACATGTCGATTTGTATTTGGAGAAAAGAGTAGATTAACTTTTTTAAATATAAAAAATTCATTTAGGAAAACATCAAAATCGATTTCAATGCACGAACAATTTTAAGTACGCATATACTTATCATTTACATCTCATGACTAATGACATTCGTTTATACTCTATTATGCAAAACTATGAACATACAATCTTATTTTAGATCCTACTGAAAGAAAACGAATTGCATATTAAATTTGATTATAAATTGCAAAATTAAAAAACAATTTGCAGCAAAATAGTATTTCCTTCAAATGTATCCTCACAAACATTAATCTAATGAAGATTTGCAATTATTGACAAAGGACACTTTCAACATTGCAACAGTATACTTATTTAAATCCTCTCTCTCTCTCTCTCTCTCTGGCCAGTTACAGGTATTCTATGACATATTAATGATGGCCAATTTAACCTTAAACATAAACTAACATTAGATGTTTTTATTCTGATCTACCAAGTGGTAAAATTGAAGACTGATTGGCTATTATAGTAATTGTTATTCAGAGCATATTGTTTATGCATACACATGTACTAATAAACTGTGATATAGGTATCTGATATGTTCGGTTGTTAGTGCCATCACATAAAACCATTGATAGAGGAAGTCATTTAACATGCCTGCATATTAAAAGATCACGATTAGATCATTTCGACTTGGAACTAATTATGCTTGTAGAAGAAAGTTGCTGATGAATATATCATAGATGTATGTCATATAACTATTTTAGACGGGTTTATTGCAAAGACTTATTTTAGGTTAAATACAATATTTTATGAAATAAAATTTACAAACTGCAGCCTCGTGATAATCTGTTTAATTGTTCTTTTCGCCATTATGCTCTTTTGTATACTTACTCTTACTTATTGATTTGCAAAATATGTGAATAGGCAGTCTATTTCTCAAGATGCAAAACTGACATTGTCTTTTATGCCTAACTGAGCAATATTTTTTATTCTTACGGTTTAATTCCTCTTTACAGGTCGGGTTCGTGGTTTGTGCCAATGGAAACTCCACCACGTCTGAATTCCGATCCTTTTCTTTTGACATTCTAGAGAATTTGAGAAAGTTGACAAAACCTGTAAACAAAGGCAAACGTACAGATCAATGTATCCAAGCCATGAACAGGGTATTTTCCTATGGTGGTAGAGAAGGCGTCAAAAAAATTGCAGTACTCCTCATTGGGAAGGACAATTCATGGAACGATAAAGCTACCGTTGCACATGTGCAGGAGGCAAAGGATAATCATGTTGATTTACTGGTTATCACTACTGGCAACAAAAACTTTAGAAGGTTGCACGCTCTCCGAAACATTGCCAGTGACGATGGGAAGTTCTTTGTGCTGACGTCATATGATGGACTGAAGCCATTGTCGGTCGACTTGTCTTCGGGATCATGCTTACGTGAGTTGATTTCAGTGCATTATAGAAAGTAAAATAAAATAAGGAATAACATTGAAAAAACTTAATCCTTAATTTCAAAGACAGTGATCTCATTAAATATCCAGAACAACTAAAATGTACATTTTCAGAATTATTCTTTTTTCTGAGAAAATTGAATTTAAAAAATCGTTTTAAATCCTATATATTTGTTAAAATAGTCTTACAATGTTATACGGTTGTCTTATGTGCATTTAAAGATATTCATTGCCTGGCTTTCTCCTGCCAACGAAACCTTCTGTTTTCGATTTCATTTATAAAGATAAACAATTTTTGCAGCCATTGCTCTTGATCTCAATGCCAAAAAAGAGAAGTCTTCAGATCCAGTAACCACACCAAGGCACATGATGCCCACTTCTGTTTCCGGTATGAAAAAGCACTTAAGCTCATATTCGACATCTTTCATTTCCACTTTGCATGTGTTTTTATTTGTTGTTCTACATGATATTACACGATGTTCCTTTCAGGTACAACGTGTCGACCTGCTGGGAACTCAGCACTTGAAAAGCACATACGTTTCTTCGGTTGGGTCAAGGTTAATTGTGCTAACAATGAGCGTGTTGATTTGTCAGAATGCAAGTGTGTACTTGGTCCTTCAGTCACTACCAAAGATGTGGAGTCGTCTAAACCGACAACGTTCAAAAAGATGCTAAGCACAAAAGGTTTAAAATCCGAAGACAAGAAGACAGCAACGACTGTTTCTCCTAAGGAAAGAAAGTTAACAGGCAGTACACAACTTGAGGATTCTATAAAGATCCCCTTTGAGTATGCAACAAAAGCCCCACAACAGACGTCTACGACACGAACTGAATCTACATCCATAGCTCCTGTCGATCCAAAACCCAACAAAATGACAAATCCTCAAACACCTAGTACATCCACTATTGTTCCTAAAATAAAAACTTCTCTCTATCCCGGAAATTCACTTCTTAAGACACCAAAGCTTGCACCTAAAATTGATTTGTCTATATTTTTACCACCTGGGGAGCAATTAAATGATACCTTCGAGCCCAAAGGAGCAGATCTTCAGACTATATTTAATCTTCTTGATCTGAATAATTCCTCAAATCAAGCTTCAAATACTAGCACTGTGGCTTTCAATGAAACGAATTCGTTGTATAATGAAACGATTGAGAATAATATACTTAACTCCGCAATTATCTCATTACTTGATAAAGACATGGATGAAACTAAGAAAACGTTCGAAGACAATCTGAAATCAGCTATCAAAAATGATACAAAAACGAGGAAAAAACAAACTAAAATGCTTCTTCCGCTTCCCAAATTTTTACATACTCCGAGAAAAAGCGTCCCGGAACCGGAAGCAGCTGCTGTAGTTCCTTTAGTGCTTCCTTCTTCTTTAACCATTATTGACTCTGCCATAAAGACTCTTTCGAATGATTCCATCTTCAATGGTGTGAATATAACGCATGAAAACACGACAGAATTAAACGAAACTGATATTGGTAAACTATCCTCACAGAAGAAATTAATATCATTGCTTCAAACTGAGAATTCTGTACAAACCAATATCATTTCCTTTCTCAAAGATACAACATATACTAAGTCTGAAATCCTAGACAATTACACTCACGATAATTCTTATGCATCAGCCAACACTTCCAGGAATGGGAATCTTACATCAGAGAGTGACGTGCTAAAAAATTCTTCAAAGTCAGCTCTTCTGATTAAATTACTGAACATTGAAAACAGCCTTCAATCCAGACTTATATCGTTATTGAACAAAGAAAATTTCTTGTTGGGTCACACGGATTATGATTATCCTGATCTTCCCACACTTCCTCCTCTTCTTCCTGAGTCAACCACTGCGGCGGTTCCTCAGAATGGTCAAAATGTCTTAGAGATCACCACTCCTTCTACGGAGAATACAACAGATTCAAGTGACGTTGTCGATCTCTTCCAATCCATCAGCGAGCTGGAATCGGCCATTGCCATTATCATGAATAAAAAATCTGTCAAACAAGTCTCTTCAGAGGAACCTCTACCACTTGATGAGAGAAACTCTTCAGTGCATACTTCTAATGTCAGTCTCCCTTTGTATGATGCTAGTAATCGTTCGTCTGAGAGTGAAGTTCTAATTGCAAAGCAAAATATCTCAACATTAGACTCAACTACTTTTTCTCCTCTTCTTATCACTACAACAAATACTGTTTCATCAACAGTATCATCATTCACTCCAGATCAGAAAGGAGATATGAATAATCCATCTCCAACAAAGTCAGCACCTTTAGTCACAACTACCTTACACATCGTTAAGCAAAAGGTCTTAAAATTAGCCCTTCCTCCTCATCCAAAATGGCCGCGTTCTCGTTCCTCTTCGTTAATAAGTAAAACCTCAAAGGACTTCAGTCATTTATCACAATCATCAAACTTACTTTCTAAAAGGGGAAAAGTTGCTCGGAAGAAAGTTCAATCGAATTCAAAGTCAGAACATGCGGTGTCGAAATCATCGACTAAAAATGCAGCAAAAGCACCAAAGCTTAATGTAACACGAACAAAGATTAAACCAACAAGTCCGTCCTCTAAAGAGACATCATTACCTTTATCATCGCCATCATCATTGTCATCCTCATCAAAATCATCATCGACAGACTCTGCACATGCTTCTCCATTGACAATTGAATTCAGGAAAGTCGTGAAAAAAGACGTAAAGCCTTCGCTTCCGAAGGTTGCTGATAAAAATATAAAAAAGGAAAAGATTAAAATATTCTGAATGGAAATTTTGCATTACAAAGACTAGAAAAAAGAACTGTGTGATATTAAATGACATCTTAAGCCATCAATACATATGACTAGGTAGGATTACTTAACTATTTGTGTGCACCTACATATCTTTTGAATAAGTATATGTACATGTATTACATGTGTTCACGAATATATTCTGATACTTAATCAATATAAGTTTAATTTACCGTATATATACGGGCGACAATCTTTGGTATTTATTTTGTGTATATATATTTTATGTATTTATTTTTCAATGATATGTGAAGAGATGTTTGTAGAATGAATTTACATAAAGATTAAGCATCTACTTTTGCAAACTGTTTACCTCTTTACTTGTTTTAAGAGGGGTTTTGTTCTATGGAAAAATCACAAGTTCCCAATTTAAGCCCTACCCACCCCTTCCGTATATAAAATAAAATAGAAAATAAACATAAAATTTAGGACTAATTCCTTTTCATCAAAATTGAAAACATGCTAGTTTGTTCATTCTCTCTTAATCGCGACATATAAGAATAGAAAAATTTCTTTATGAAGAAAAATGAATTATCCTTTTAATATTTATTTTTTACCTTTAAAAAAACATTTTATATTTGCCATTTACTAAATAATGAATTATAAGAAATTCATACAGTGAGTTTACGAAATTTTGTTTAATATAATAGTGCACTGTTGCAACCACTATTGAAATAACGACCACTATTGAAATAATTATTTCAATAGTGGTTGAGAGTGGATTTCAAAACCCAACACAACTTGTAACCACTGTTGAAATAACGTTCACTATTGAAATAATTATTTCAATAGTGGTTGAGAGAGCATTTCAAAACCAAACACAACTTGTAACCACTATTGAAATAACGTTCACTATTGAAATAATTATTTCAATAGTGGTTGAAAGTGCATTTCAAAACCCAACACAGGTTGGAACCATTAATGAAATAACCTTCATTACTGATATAATTATTTCAATAGTGGTTGAGAGTGCTTTTCAAAACCTAAACCAAGTTGCAATCACTATTGAAATAACAATTACTACTGAAATATATTTCTATAGCGGTTTTATACGTGTAATCACTATTGAATTAACAACCTCTGATGTTATAACACTTATACTTAGTTTTCCCAAATAGTTGCTTTTAATGTATTGACTAGTAGAAACGTTTAATTTACTATCCATATTAGTAGTGTAGGCAAGCCCATGAATATAAGCGCGAATTTACTTCTATTCTATATCCTTTTGATAAAAAATAACCATTGCTTCATCAGAAAGTTTGTTCACATATTAGATATTAAATAGATGTCTTCTTTCTTCTTTTTAATGAACATATTCTAATTTCTACAACTATCTGTATTTATAATCTTTTACTTTCCCCATTTAATAACAAAGATGAACCTTATATAACAAAATTACTTAAAATTACTAGATCAGTTAAATCACAGATATCCGTGTATTGATAGTATTTCTAGACAGAAATTAAAACATAAAATTACATATTCATATTTCAAACCCAATAAATTAATTTATTATGTTGGAAAACAAAATGAAGAATTTATCCATATATTTTTTTCCCAATATTGGGGTTATTTCAATGAGGCTTGCAATGTGGTTTTTATACTGAAATCATTGTCAGCAACTATTGAAAAAATGACTTCAATCACTATTGAACTCTTTATTTCAATAGTGAACATTATTTCAATAGTGGTTGCAACCTGGTTTAGGTTTTGAAATGCATTCAAAACCTCTATTTAAATCATGGTTTCAATAGTAAACATTATTTCATTGTAACCTGTTGTAACCTGTGTTTGGTTTTGAAATGTATTTTCAACCACTATTGAGATAATTATTTCAATAGTGAACGTTATTTCAATAGTGGTTGCAACAGTGCACGCTTAAGGAGTATTAAACCTATGTTCTAAATTTCACATTTTTTTTATCAAATTCCCCAACATTGGTTTTCATCAACAACTGTAGTATTAGATTCAAATGGAAAATAGTATGGGATGAAGCCGTGTAGCAAGCGCTAATGATAAAACACCGCTTAATGATAGAAATATCATTAAGCGTTGCAATGCTACGCTTAATGTCATAAAATATTGCATTAATAGTTGACATTCTCAACACTTAATGATATAATTCTTTCATTAAGCGGCGATTTAGCATAAGCGGTTTAGAATGTCAACTATGAATGCAATAATTTATGGCATTAAGCGTTGCAATTGCAACGCTTAATGATATTTCTTTCAGCGGTTGCTACCAAGCCGTGCTTATTTTTTCACAAATAAATTTTACGTCAGACCATGATATGAAGAATGTCTGATACAGAGAATAGGAAGAGCAATAATTTAGTATCACAAAAAAAGTAAAAATATGAGTTACATATTAAAATCATATCATTTTTTACCAGGAAAATAAATTGTACTAATAATAGAAATTCTTTATAAGGTACATGCACATGATGCGTTACTGCAGTTTTAAAATTTTTCAAAGAAAGAATTGTATCGATTTGCAAGAATAAAAAACTGGATGCAAATGTCTAAGGTCAAATATAATCAAAAACTATGAATATAGGCAAAAAGAAAAAGAAGTCAAGGTTTCAATCCGGTATCAGTAATGATTGAATTGACAATTGTCCTCTATAAAAATTTAGAATTTTTCAATTTAACTTTGTATTTAAATTGAAAAATTCAAAATTTTTACATGACACTATTCAAAGGTCTCCACTCTACTAAAGTGCTTGCAGATATTGAGCTGATTCTTGGCATGTGAATGTACCTTGATGAGTTACCGATCAAGTTTGCATTTCGTTCCGCTTTGGTGATTTTTGACAGAGTTACAGCCTTTTTTTTAATTTTAAAAGGGAACCAGATTTTCGACTTGGTTTTCCATACTTTTTCCTAAATGCTTGCAGATATTAAGCTGACTTTTGATGTGTGAGTCTACCTTTAGGGGTAGTAGATAAGTTTGCAATTCGTTCCGCTTCAATAATATTTGATGGAACTATGGCTTTTTTAGAGAAAATCAGATTGCACTTTCCGATAGGGGACTATTAATATTGCTTATGCAATACTGTCAGAATGCTTGTTATAAATCTCTCTTATCAGAGGCTCGGCCCCCTTTGAGACTACCTACTTTGACCACTGTCCTTTTATAGATCTATCTTTAATGGTCTCCTGCAATATGAAATATTTTTAATTTGACAATATCTGATCTGTATGAAAGACAATTGGCTGACCATATAAATTACATTGAAATCAATTTACATGCATTTTCATTCTTATAATAAATGTTATAAGAGTAACATGCGCTTGTTAGTGTTCTTGCTATTCTAGCTGAATAATAATTGAAATTCATTCATAAATAAACTTCTATGTTAGCACATCGATGGAAAGAGAGGAGGGACAGAGAGACAGCGAGAGGAGAGAGAGAAAGAACATCTTCAGCATAATTGATTATTAGGCTTAAACTTTCATCTCTATACATGTAACATCATGTCAGAAAGTAATTTATTGCGCCGTTGCTCTCCTACCTTGCGGTTTGAAAATTAGCTTATTAAATTATAAATCGAGTAATTAAAGTTGGTATTCACGTCACTGATACACGAAGTTTTCTAACAAAGTGAAAGAGTTTGTTTTATAAAACCGAGTTTGAATTTTAATACTGTCAGCACTATGGATCCTTTCCTTACCTGCAGTTTATTTCTGGGCAGACCACACGTAGATTACAAATACACATAATTTTAAATAATTTTTTTAAGGTGTTGCAAGTCTGGCACTTTTCCTCACGTTCAAACTTTTTAATTGAATTCAGTCATTTTTCTGTATTTATGAAAATCTGACACAAAATGGAGAAAAAATGAAAATAAAATTAACACTCTATACAATACCAGACAACTTTTAAGACAAATTATTATAATGAAACCTTTAATACGATAAAATTTAATAATTAAAAGAGGGTTTTTGTTTTATCTCTATTTTTTTTTTCTTTTTAATTTTGTCATTTTTCTAAGAAAGAAGAGCTCATTTCTCTTGAATTAGTTATGCACAGTCAGCAGAATTAAAATTTTCACAAAGAGAATGGAGTCTTGCAACGACTGATTATAAAGAGAGATAACTTTATAAAAGTATTTTCTTAAAAAAAAAAAAATTGCATTTTTACCTCTGAAACGACTGCATTGCATTACCGAAATTCGAAAATTTTGAAAACTTGTTAGTTATTATTACCAAAAATTATTTTCTTTCATTTCCGAAAACTCAAAATGGGAGCCCTGTTGATTGAGGACTACAAAGTGCGGCAGAAAAATTTTGCAATTGTATTCAGAAATACAGTAACTATATATACATGTATCTAGAGCCGTGTATATTCCACTAAATCAGTAAATTCATTCAGCAAAGAAGTGCCTTTAAAAAACTTTGACCAAATTAAAGCAAAAACAAAAATTCTAAGCTCGGAAAGCCTATGTAATGTGTGGTACAATGCCGTGGGAGAGTTTGACCAAGATACTGAACCAGGAAGTCGGGTGGGGTGGGCAACCGGTCTTTGAATAACATTAATCTATAAGATCATGTTATTCTCGCTTCCTAAGAAAAGTGGGGGCGTCTCCTCAATTTCCAAAACAATGTTAAGCATTTCCCGGAAATCTATCCGTAAATTCAAAATTTACAACATGACAGAAGTCCTGGATTTGCCACTATTTTCTTTTGCACCTACCCCACCCTATTATTTTTTGTTTCTTTTCTTTCCGTTTCTTTTTTCATTCCTGATTTTTCTTTTTTCACTTCTCTCCGTTTCTTTTCTTTTCCTAATTTTTGTGCAGGTACCCTTTTGGGGTAAAATTTTTTACATGTACGTATGCACGACACTGAAAAGGATTTATCGTCACCCGTCTACTTTTTTCTGCTATAATTTGTTTAATTGAGAGATTTAGTCACCAAATTTCAAAATAATATAACTCTGCATGAACGATTCTTTCACTACTATATAGTACTTTCTGCAGATCTGCAAGTAAAGTCTTAATTCTTATACTAGGGTCTATATATATTCTTATATATCCAGTATTCAATTTTTTATGTGACCAAACATTTCACTGTCACGATCTGTTTGAGAAAGTTTGAAAACTTATAAATGGGAACTACCGGGTATTAGTATTTTTTCAACATTGACGGATTCTCATGACATTCTAATTAGGGAGGGAGGGGCTTTCCTTTTTCTTATCATTGATGATTATAACGAATTTCGGTGCAAGTGTGGACAAGTTGTATTTTACAGTTTTTGAATTATCCTGGATGCAATTTCACTTTCTTGTTCATTTTTCCCAAGGTTTCCTAAGACTTGCTTTAGTCGGACAAAGCAGTAATGATAATTTAACAACACCACCCCAGGAGTCCCTATGCCCTATATCTTCCTTAGTGTCCGACAGCATTGTAATTGCATAACTCACTGCATGGGAAGTAAGGGATTGTGGGTCAAAGAAGCTGAAGATTTGCAAGATTTGGACAGTTCGTGGAAACTTACAACAGGGTGAGCTAGTATGTCATTGATAGAGGAATTGAAATCTGGAGCTTGTTGCGTGTGTAATGTTTACACACATGGACACACTGACAGGATAAACCAACTAAGCCTGTACTTTTTTTTATGCAAAAAGAGTATTATGAAACGAATGACTTGTATATGTCGATGTGAATGTTCTTTTTCAGAGGGGCACTGACTCTAGTAAGTTACTGCACGAGTAAGCGGTATGGTAACAAGTCTAATATCATGGTAATATTTCAAAGCATGAATAATAGTCTAATTTACAGACATAATGACCTAGAAATAAGATTTCGTTAGGATGAAAATTCATCGGAATTGGTTGGACTCAGAAATAATGTGTATATGGATCTGCATGGGGTCAAGATTACCTGTGACAGAAGAGTATCGCTGTCGGTAGAGAAGTCGATAGAGACATGAAGACTATGTGTGTCCGTCTTGTGTGTGGTGGTGGTATGGGGGGGGGGGGGAGGGCATTGAGTTTGTTCTTACCTGTTTCTGCCGTATATAAACAGTCACAGGCACCTGAGGTAGGATGGTATAAAAATAAAATGGTATAGAGGAACAGTCTCTAAAACTTAAACAAAATACAAGTTACATGTATCAGAATTTAGATATGATGTGCTGGGAATTCGTGTATTTTGAGGATGGGTGAGAGGGTGTTACACCATCCGCATCCGTACGTCAGGTGCCTGTGTTTACGAAGACTTACTGATATTTTTCTTTTAAGGACATACATAACGTACCTTACCTACTGATAATTTTTAAAGATATTCTTAATTTAAAATTTTAGTACCATCAGATGTTCGCAGACAAAAAATCAGCATGCATAACCAGATGTTTTGAATAGATATTAAATGACGAAAAACCTTTCTTGTTCAAAGAAAAATGTACAGAAATTACTAAACATATATTCTAGATGTTTTTATCATTCAAATTTGTTTTAGAAGAGGTATACAGCACCATGTAAAGACATTAATAGAGTAGCACACAGGTCCTTCAAGTATTGGAACTCTTCGATCAACTCCAGGGAAAAAGACAATAATGTTCAAACTACATTGCGTATGTCCTTACCTTTTTATCAAGTAGATACATGTATTGTGTAGTGTGGGCCTGTAAAAATTTAAAAGGCTACAAAGAATTTTTACCGACTATGAAAATTTTCAAAAAACGATTCGCCCACGTTGGGACTCGAACCCAAGACCCTCAGATTAAAAGTCTGATGCTCTACCGACTGAGCTACGCGGGCTACTTACAGACATGTTGACGATATGTTTAGCATACTTATATACTGTCTCAATTTCCTCTGGTTGGGTAATATTTTTATGTGTTGACAGATGCATGAGTTCTTGTTCACAATGACATTCAAATATAATCCAGTCCATATTTTTGTCACGTATATTCGCATATCTATATACTTTTTATATATTTTTTTTCAATGAGGGTTATTCTTCTTGGAACAGTTCAGTTTCCTATTAAAATCAAATTTTTAAATTTGAGATTAAAGCATGTAGATCTAACAAGGCCTTTCAGAATCATATATTAGTAAAAAAAATTTCACATGTTTAAACTATATTAATTATTTTAAAAATGCACAAAATTTTGGCTTTGTTATATATACATTTTTTCATCTGATTTTTTTAAGGGGGATCAAGAAATATAACTCTACTCATTATCTGATGTTATTTAAGTTTGAGTTGTCTTTCTTGGAATTAGGTTGTCCATATCTGACTGTGCCTCGGATGGGATTAAGCTGTACGGAATTTATAAAAAATTTATCACTATTGCCGAAAGAAAAGTCCGAAATAGTTTATCTTCACAGTAATTTATAATAAGTCCGAAAAGTTGTATTTTACACCGTTATTGTCTTTGTCTCGACCTGTTATACAAGGAAAGGGTGTGCATAGGCTTTGCCTCATTTCCAATCCTTAATTAAAGTAATGCTCAAAAGGGTGACCCCTGGTTTGGAAAAAATAAATATTTATATACATGTATATATGGAATTTGAAGATAACGAACAGTAATACAATAAAAATTTGGAGCAAACACGGAGTTCTGTATAATTAAATACACTCGACTTCAAATAAATCACACAGGCCCGTAGGAAGCAATTTCACTTTGAGGGGGCACAACCATACATTTTCAGGGGGAGGGGGGGCACTTTCAAATACCAAAATTCCTTGACAAGCAAAAAAAAAATAATAATAATAATAAATAAATAAATAAATAAATAAATAAATAAATAAATAAAAGATCATCAGACGTTATTATTGAGGGGGCACAAGCATATAGTAGCTACATGTATTTTTTTTGTAGTATTCTATATATCGGCAAAATTATTGGGGGGCACTTACATGTGTTTATTTAATGGGATTCGGCAATACAGTTTTGTTATGCTACATGAAATCTTACTTCCTACAAGTATGTTCTGGGTAGCGGACAAAATTGTGAGACGATTACTGCTCACAATCTTATAAAAGATATATGAATTTGCTTTCGTTTCTACAGCTGTTCTAGCATACATGCTCTCCTCTCTCTCTCTCTCTCTCTCTCTCTCTCTCTCTCTCTGAGTCGAGAGATAACATATCGTTCCCAGATTTCAATATTTCAGTTCAGGGCATTGTTCAACGTGATCATTTTCACAGATTCTCCTCATTCATTCATAAAATTCTCCTTATTTGGTCACCGCTCTGACGTGAATTATGCGATCGATTTCCATTTTCTGCAGCATCTCCAATCAGTCGAGTAATTGCAATTTTACGTTGGACTCTGTCTGACGTGTGCGTGGATATTGACTAGCCCAAAAGTCGATATGTATATAATATTTTTAGGCAGTTCTGCGTAAAGAGAGTTTGGTCCGAGACTCTGAGTGGGTGGTAGAGTGAAATTGAGTTGTTTACAAAACTTCTGTCATTTTCATCAACATATCCGCATAGTAAGGATACACTTCCCACAGGAAAGAACAAGCATTTGTAAAGTTATATTTTTTTTAACTGTCCTATATCATCTCATTGTTTTGATCGAAGGTAAGCTCATTCGTATATATATATATATATATATATATATATATATATATATATATATATATATATATATATATATATATATATATATATATTCTTCATTCCATTTTGGAAGAATGAAATCTAGGAAAGTGTTCAACAATTATATTATTAGGCTTGTTTTTTTTTTTTTTTTTTTTTTTTTAAATGTGTTTTTAATGTAAGTGTAGTTTTACTTAACTTACATGGTATATAATATGAATCATCATAGTTTTAATATTCCATATGTTAGCAGTTATAAAGATTATGAGGTAAAGTCAGATATGGAAAATAACCGAATTAATGATTTCCATACGTCTACTTGATTGGTAAAATTTGCGATCATATTAAAACTGTTTCCATTAAAAATAATAATGGGTAAATTTTCAGTGTAATTTTCCAAGAGGATTCGTGTAGTCATTGTGTAAGCTTTTCGTATCAATTTCACAACCTATCGTAAGTTTGTGTATTCCCTTAGGATGAACCAATCACAGATTACGTCTATTTTTATCCATAATCAGCTGTTTCTACGCACTCTCGAGAAATATCAATGCGCTTTCAAAAATAGTCCACGGTGATAATTTCTAAGTTAATAACAATACATTTTTTACTTATTTTGTTGAGTTGATAAGAAATTTTATGTAATGTTTTAATTTTGATGTGTTGTTCATTTTTGACTATTCTAGGTATTTAAGTCGCAGTACAGCCAGCACGATCGTTATCGCGTCGTAGTGCGTATAAATACACAGTGAAGTGACAATCAATGTACTTCTGCCAATTCTGCAGATTGACTTGCACAACGAAAGAGAACGGTCAAGGGAAACGTTGAACCTACCTTGAATTCATAAGTGTTGAGCCATATTGTTCAATTTTCGGAACTTATTGGACAAACTTTAAGTGAAATATACTTGGAAACGGGACTGTCAAGATGGAATGTATGAACCGTTTTCAAGTTTTATGTTATGAACAAGTTGACCGGCTGAATAAAGTGATGGAAGATGTTATTCCAATACACGGTCGCGGTAATTTTCCCACTCTGGACGTCAAGCTCAAGGATTTAGTACAGGTTGTGAGAGACAAATTGAAGACAGAAGGAGTATGTGTTAGAGATATTCGTTTGAATGGGGGTGCAGCTAGCTATATTTTCGGAACGGACTCGGTCCGTTCATACAACGATGTGGATTTGATTTTTGGTGTTGATCTCTCCCATGGCTCAAACCATGCAGAGCTTCAGAAAATTAAGAATTGCGTTCTTGGTTGTCTCGTTGATTTTCTCCCAGATGGTGTAAACAAAGAGAAAATGAGCAGTTGCAGTTTAAAGGAAGCATATGTGCAGAAAATGGTAAAAGTTTGCAATGAGCACGGGGACAAATGGAGCTTGATATCTCTTTCTAACAACAAGGGAAAGAATGTGGAGTTGAAGTTTGTGGATAAAATGAAAAGACAGTTTGAATTCAGTGTTGATTCCTTTCAAGTAATTTTGGATAGCTTGCTGACCTTCTATGAAATTTCTTCTGCTCCAATGAGTGAGAGATTTTATCCAACAGTTGTTGCAGAGAGTATGTATGGAGATTTCTTGGAGGCATGGCATCATTTAGACAATAAGCTGATTGCAACCAGAAATCCAGAAGAAATCCGAGGTGGGGGCCTGTTGAAGTATTGCTGTCTTTTGACAAGAGGATACAACCCAGCAGAAAATGTAGATATTCGTGCAATGGAAAGATACATGTGTTCTAGATTCTTCATCGACTTCAGTGATATAAATCAGCAACGCCAAAAGCTGGATGCTTACTTAAACAATCATTTCAGTGATGAGGAGGACTTGAAACATGAGTATTTATTAACATTATATCGTGTTGTGGATGAAAGCACAATCTGCCTTATGGGACATGAGCGAAGACAAACTCTGAATCTGATTCACCAGTTGGCCTGCCAAGTATACATGGAACAAGAACGTCGTGCCCAAAACAAGGTGCTGGAGATGCAGCAATTCGACCAGTTGAACAATCTGACAATAGACCAAGTGTTTTTCCATGGTCCTTTTTCAGTCTCCAACGGCACTCATTATTACAACATTATGCCTAATGTGTTTCAGATGAATCAGATGAACGCCCCCTGCCCTCACTGTCCACCACCACCATTTCTTCAGTGCTCCTAAACGGTAAAGGAATGAAATTTCAAAAACGTGTGCAAGAATAAAGTGCTTTTTTGTGAAATGATCCATATTCTGAGTGTTTAAGAAAGGGAAACTGTAAATGTTTTGTAAGGAGCCTTGAAAATGTTAAGAAAAAATAACTGTGATCTTCAAATCTTTGATTTTTATCAGGGATGTATTTTCCAATGATCTTCAAATAATCGTGCGAATCATACCCATTGTATGACTATGATAAGGAATTAATCTCGTACATGTATGCATGATTTTTAATCTACAGCACCTTTAGGTTTATACCTGGTAGAGTCAGTATGTTTATCTGATAACATTTGTGTACTCTGAGCAAAGTAGTGTTAGATTTAAGGACTTTTTTTGTATGCAATGGAACTTTGTGGAACATTGAATTGAGAAGTGTTTGTAGAATGTGTTCATGTACTTTGTGAAATCCAAGTCATGTTGATTCTGTCATGTTGGAATGAACAACTGGATGAATTTTTTTTTTTTTTTTTGCTTCATTTAACTTGATATTTTTTTTAAAGACATACGCCTCACTTCAATTGATAATTTTAAAAAGTTGAGGGGAAAAAAAGTTCATATGTTGTACAAATGGAATCATTTTCCATATAGCGTTATAATTTAGGGATTGAAAAAAAAAATATTTTTATATAAAATCAGTCATTATATTTTTTCATGATCAGATGATTGCCTGATATGTTGTTTGTGTGATAAGTTTTTTTTATCTGTGTGCCAAGATCAAAAGGAAAAAAATAACACAGCATGTGAAAATGTGCAATGCACGGTGTTAAGAACGAATAGGCAGCAACTATTTTCCAAAGTAAACCTGTAGCAATGATACATATTTATCACCACATACTAACAGTTCATCAGAAAAATTATTGCGGAACATGTGATTTCTGTTACATCATTGTTGTATAGGGAAAACATTTGATTGTCATATCAAAGGTATGCAAGTGTATTGCTCCTGTAATTACAACCTGATGTATTAGATGTGTAATTAAAAGACGTAGAAGAAAGATAAGGCAAAAGTGGTGCACATTGTTTAATTTGCTTGTGTCTTGTGACCATAGCACCTGTGATGTAGAAGGTTCGACTATGTGATACATAGTTTGTTAAACTTTTTTTCCCTATGGTTGCTCCCTATATTTTTTTGGAAATACTTGCAATTTTTGTTATATATTGTTATTGTTGAATACTATTAGCATGACATTATTGTTAATGTGTGTGTGGTTTTTTTTTTAATTCTAGATTTGCATTTGTAAATTTGTTTAATTGAAACCACAACCCATTATGAATACTGGGACCAGATATTATCATAGAAATTTACTAATTAATACTGTGTAATTGTGTAATATATCTATAAAATTATTTTTTTTTACAACAAATGCAAATGCCCAGTTTAAAAAGGAAAAGAAAAAAAAAACTAATGGTTAGTCTTCATTTACCATAATTTCCAGCTGTTGAATGATATGTAAGTATTTTAATCAATGCATTGGTCCTGTTCATAATATATCAGTTATCACTTTATTTAAAAGGGGGGGGGGGGGGTCAGGAGAAATTAAGAGATAAGGTCTTTCAAGATATGTAATTCAGGACTAGACAGTTTGTTTTCATTAAAAACTTTTTAAAAGTAAAATTTGCATGTGATATGGTCTTGCAAAATTTGAATCACTAGAAGGGCAGGCTAACCAAAGATATTTGTGTTCTCAACATGTATTACATTTCAAATTCATCAAATGTGTTAAACCCACATGTTTTCATTTGTTGACTGTTTTAATTAAAAGAGAGAGGACAAAAATATTTCTAATCAATTTGAGTATTCTCATAATAGAGGGGAGAGATATACATGTGTATAACTGTCATAATAAAAAAATATTTTCCTCATCTAATTGTTAAAAAAAGATTTCAGTTAATAAAATGCCTGCATAATTTAATAAATTAGGATGTACTTATATTGTAATTTGTTATTTATTCTAAAGAAAAATGTAAATGAAGACATTTGGCAAGTGTTGACATACATTGTATATGTTCTTGATTTACAAGCTCACCTCTAATTTTTTTTTTTTTTTTGGTTAAGGAAATAAAATTTTATCGATTATTAACTCTTAATTTGGGAGATTTATTTTTACATTTTCCCTTTCTTTGTCATATATATATTATATACAATTGCATTAAAATTATCTGTGATCATACAAGTAAAAAAAAGAGCAAGGAGTTGTTAATCAATAATGATCATTTTATTGTACATTGCTTAAAAGGAATGAACAAAAAAAAGATTGTCAAAAAATCATCTGAGATAGCTGTGTATTGCCAGCTGGTTTTGTCAGTGAAGAGAAATAAATTCTGGCATTTTATCTCCATAGGGATGGTTTGACATTGCTAACACTTCAACAGGGGCCCTAAACATCCATCACAGTCTGACAGCACATGTCCCTAGGCCTACTGATTTAGACCTGTTATAAGCTGTGCTCTAGTACATTATTCAATCCAACAAGTATAATCCCTTTTCACAGAGAAATGAAGGAATGTTGTAAAAAGCAGTGTAATCTCTGATCAATAGCTTACCAACCAATTACAGATTATTTCATTAAAAAATTATATATTTGACCCATGTGATTCTTAATGGTCTGTCTGATGTTTTTCTGGGTTTAGTGACATTAAATGTACAGAAGCGACCAGTTGTACAAAATTATTTATTTAGGTCATCACTGATTACCTCTCTACAAAGTTTGTTTAATCTTCGGCAACTTTCCAACTTGGGATGATTAACAATATGTTTAAAGTAGCAGATTTTAGGGACACTCTGAATTGGTGATAAGTAAATTAATGGTGATTATTTTCATCCTTTGTACTATCTTGTTGACCTGTAAATATTTTCTCTCACAATTATTTTTTTTTTCTTTCCTTGTATGTTGCAGGTCTCTTACAATTTCATTCGCTCATAATTTTTCAAGGGTTTTTTTTTCTCTGTCTCGGTTTTCAATAGCCACAATATTCTAGTCGAACATCATATGATCATTTCTCGAATACTAGTATGTTGTTCAATAAGAATGTCATTATAAACCAAAGCTTTCACTTCGAATGAAAAGACAAGTGTATGTACATGTGTACATTGTTATATTTTTTTGTACTTTTCCATGGGAAATTTTAAGTAGATGTACTTTACACACTTCTTTGGACTTGAGATTATTTTAATAATGTTTTTCCTTGACCTTTCTGCAAAAAAAAATCATTTAACTAAAGATCTATTTAATCTAGTTAAGCCCATTTTGAAAAGGATAAAAAAATATTATGGATGCTTTAAAAATTTCCCAGGATAGAGTATATAGTGTTTTTTGTTCACATATTCATTATCATACACATGTATTGATTGCTACAAAATGTAAATGCTTGTCTGTTTCTAGATCTTTTAACAATGTATACTATATCACAAAATGATATATAAATATATATATATATTATATACATGTATGTGTATTTACATATTATGTATTATTTACTTGTTAAGGACACTGAGTGTCGAACTGTATATCATATTATCATGGCTTCAGCAACTGGAAATAAATTGTATTATTTGGCAAATTCCAGTAAACAAATAAAATATTTTTTGAAACTACTACTTTATTTCTTCCATTTGTTTTGAAAATCTGTTGTAGTTTGTTTGGGTACAGATTTAGAAGATCATAATTATTGTGAATGGGGAAAAAGTAATTTTTCTAGAATGATGATTAATTTATCTGTAATTTGGAAGTTTTAGTTCTTTAAAAGCGTTAAAATTTTTGGTTTGCATGAGTCAGTTGAGTGTTATTGCAAAGTTAAAGTGAGTGGTTATTTAATATCCAACATTTCCCACTAAAGGTTTTCCCTATTAAACAGACTGTGATGAATTATTGCTCAGAAATATCAAGGAAAGTGTGAATAGAGATTGGAATAAACAAATAGGAAGAAATGTACAGTATACTACAGTTTGTGCATTGTACAAAATAGCCTGGTCTTAAGAGTACTCTATTTCATCAAATCAGGAAGGAATTTGGGATGCTTGCTAAAATTAAAAAAAAAAAAAAACAAGTACACATAAATTCACTGGTTTTACAGACAAGTTATTTGGACTCAGGCTAGAGACTTGGGAGTGATCACATGCACTGAATGTCGGTGCGGATTATGTATATTTTTGTATCCAACAATCGATGTACATTTATGTATGTAGGCACAATTAATTTACACAATAGTTCAGCATGGTTAGTCTATGCAAATATTTGTATTAATGAGCAGAATTAGAAAGGGGGGAATATAGAAATGCACTAACATCTTGTGGTTTTAATGGAAAGTGGGGCATAAAAATTATATAAATATATTTTTCTATATTCTCAAGACTAGGGGAAATTTAGAAGGTTGGCATGATAGGATTAGGACATGAATAAAACATTCCCTTGCTACTTTATGTGTTGTGTGTTTGACAGCTCATTCTTGTGAGTTAGCTAGTGCTGTCAAGTCAAACTAGTGTACTAGAATGTCTGTGGTGCCAAATTATCCAGATCTTAAAGCCATACTATTGTTAAAAAGAAGTTTATTATATTATCCAGAATAAATGTACCAGTACTAATCCTGAATGAAATAATCTCTCCTAACTCCTGACCTTCTAATATATATGATCTTTTACTGCTTACAGTGCAGCATCTATCTCTATTTTTCCACATCTGTTGTATAACGAGATAATAGCATGAATAGAGCTGTTCAGTTGCCCCTGAACAGAGAGACTGCAGATATTGATAAGATGAAAGGTTTTGTTAGGTAGCTATTCTTGTTCCATTGATAAGGAGAGTGTATGTACATGTATATTAGGCTGTTGTGATGTAAAGTTCTTGTTATAGAACCATGACACTGGGATGTATTTAATCTGTTAAATGTTATTCATACTTCTGTTACATGTACTGTGAGATCTGTGTAGTGTGGTGGAATAGAATCTAATTTTCTTCTTTCTCAATTATGACTCTGGATCAAAATTACTTATTAAAGCATATCTCAAAATTGGAAGTTTAAACTTCAAACTTTAAATTCTGTCAACTGGATATTTTTTCTAAAACCTTATCCCCCCTCCCAGGAAAGTCATTATCTCCTTGTCCCACACTTAAGAGCTTTCCTGAAATGTAAAGAAGAGGTGAGGTATGTTTTTTTTTTCCTCCAGAACATTCTTGATTGGTGATCAATTATTGAAAACCGTGTTTGTTATTCTGTGTGTATCGATCTGAGCAGCATTAAAGGTTAGCGAAGTCATTGTGCCTGATTAGTAATATAACTCTAGAACTGCACTTAATCCCTGTGAACCCCACACTGTCAATATTGGTGTAGGAACTGGGGATCTTTAATCCTCTCAGGTGAAGGACTTCTAGCTTTCACTGGACATTGATCTGCTTTAGAATAATTCCAGAGCCTGTCTTTATGTTAATGTGTGTATGTGCTTTTGTTCACCAGAGAGAGAGAGAGAGAGAGATTTAAAAGTTTGGACATAAAAGGGAGATATTTCAAGGAGCAACGGGATTGATCATCTTTTTTTTTTTTTGGATGTCATTTTTTTTTAATCAGGACCTACATGTATATACTAAACTGTACTATACAATTACATGTAGTAATTATGTATATACGTCCCTGGTTTAAGCTCTGAGTGTTGGACATGTTTAAGTGGTTAAAAAAAAACTATTTTTACCTAATTTAGCTATAATGCCTCTTTTAAAAGCCCATAAATCACTACTGCTAAAATACTTCCAAAATCATATGGACATTATAATTTACGTACCATGAAGATTTTGGTGTTATGAATTTGTTAAAAACAAGTTATCGTGCATACAATCTTTGTGTGGGCGTTCGTATCGTTAGGACCAGGGGGACTGACACTCGGTCAGAAGATGTGACCATGACCCGTTTATACAATCGGGTTTTATGTACGCATATATTATATATTTAAGGTAAATCGTGGTCAGCCACGAGCCCTAAATCAATACACGGGAACAGGTGTGTGTGAACTTGATAAAATTGACATGCTATTTGTGAAGTTATTCAAATGTTGGGGGGGGGGGGGTTAGATTGGACAATTTACATTGCAATATTACATTGAAATGT